GGCATTAATAAAATGAGACTGTAATGAACATGCTAATTCTGATCACAGGGTACTGCACAATGGTGGAGAGCATTGACTGCCTTCTCCCTGAAAGATTGTAAAAGTTGTTTTTTTTTTAACAACTGCTATAATGGCTTACATTTTTTGAAACCGACATATTATGCAAACATTTCTCTCCATTTCCCAACAAAATGCCTTCTCTGTCTCATCCAACTGCTCACTGTGTGTTTTACTATCTCAGTTACAGTCACCTTCAGGGAGCATATTTTTTCCATCTTGCAAAAACTGGCTTCTGAAATAGGCATGTCACTGAATCATAGGAAGCTAGAGAGAAATCTCAGTGATCCCAGTCCAGTGTCTTTGCTTTCTCTGTGCATGTGAAAATAAAAAAAATAAATAAATAAATAAAAAATGAAGAAGAAGAAGAACAGGGAAGAAGGGAAGTTAACACATTTGCTCAAGATGCCACAGCTATTTTGGGGCAGAGCCAGAGTTAGAACTCAAATTACCTGACCGAGACTTGGGAACTTTGTATATTGTCTTATGTCTTGATGGTGACCATTCATAAATTAGGATGCATTTGTGTGGAGTAAACATAAATATCATTTCATAAAATACATCTGCAAAACTAGGTAATTAAATTGTCTCATATTTGCTTATCTTTTTAGGCAATAATTTTACTTTATACGTTCTATGAAAAAGTTAGTTTCCTGTAAGTAGGTAAGAGCAACAGTGTTTTTATACATCATACCCTGTTTTGTTGTGGTAGTGCTGGTGGTGTTTTGGGGGCAATGCTATTCGGGAATGGGCAAGTCTCCAAAAATAATCCGCTAAGCTTAAAAAAATCATATATTACATGCTGTTTGGGATGACATGACAATAATACGTGTATTTTCTGAATACTGTTTGAAAAATATCTAAATTCAAGAAACATGACATATAGTCAGACAAGTAGATGCAAAATTAAGTAATATCTCACTTTCCCTTCCCAGTGACTGGTAGCATGTAACTGAGAGAACATTTTCATCCCCAGTTATCATTATATAAATTTATACTACAAGACTTCCCCCTGACAAACTTTGGTCAGTAAGAAATTATGATCAGTGGGGTGCCTGGGTGGCTCAGTCATTAAGTGTCTGCCTTTGGCTCAGGTCATGATCCCAGGAATCTGAGATCAAGCCCCTCACTGGGCTCCCTGCCCCTCAGGGAGTCTGCTTCTTCCTCTCCCACTCCTTCTGCTTGTATTCCCTCTCTCACTGTCTCTCTATCTCTGTCAAATAAATAAATAAAATCTTAAAAAAAAAAAAAAGAAATGATGACCAGTGAACCAAAGATTCAGAAAGCACGAAATCCATCTGGATAATGATCCTCTTCTTAGAGCACCCTCTCCGGTCGTACTCGTGCCCTTGAAAGCCTCATTTGTAATCTAAAAACCTCCCAATTCTACAATTAGGGAAGTCTCAACCCTTAATAACCTCTCAGTGACATCTGAAGCCTTGACTTAAAGTTCTGCTCAAGAGCGAAAACATGTGTACGACCGATACACACATCAGCATCCTCAAGTACTACAGAACAAGGGAGCCGGTTTTTATTTGTGTTTCCACAGGCAGGCCAGCCAAAAAAATTAAAATATGACCTAGGGGCCATACTGCATTCAACTCCCCATTCTCTTACTACTTCTTCTATGAACTATGGTGCACAGTGTCTAAGTGGTAATTGCCTAAATATCTCATTCCAGGGCATGTTCAGCCTGGGCTTGTAGTTATCCTTCCTTATGAAAACAGTTTTTCAGAGAGAGGGTAATTTGAAGCTAGCTACGGAGGGAAGGTTTCCCCTGAAATACTCCTTTTAATGCACATGGGTGGTCAGAGTATTATTTCACTGTCTTCTGCATTAGCCACACAGTTCAGATGTTTAAATCTCCAATTAATTAGGTTCTCTAGTAGCCTGTATGAAATAAATTAGTGATCTCTATCCAGTCCACTTAGACAAAACCCATCATGACGGTTGGCACATTTTTGGCATTGTCAGCAAAGTAGGGAAAAAGTAAATGAGCCATGTGGACGAAATGGGCATCTGATGAGGGCTACTGACTGAAAGTGTACAGCAGCTTCAGCCAATGGCAGAACACAGAGCTTGAGTATCTGCCAAGGTGATCTGCAAGAGCAAGTGAACTTAAATGGGCACAAAACTCATCAAGTGTAGTATGAAACTCTTCACATTCATTTTAATTAACTGTGCACCATGTTCGTATTCTATGAATGTGATTCTACTATTGGAATATGTTGTTAAGACTATTATTAATAGAATTATAAATAGTTATTTAGAAATTTTAAACCAGGAGGTAACCCTAGGGAACAAAGATAATTCCCAACCCGTTTATTTCATCCCACAGGGATATATGAAAACCTTCTAAGTTATGTTTAGACTACTTTTCCATTATCCAAAATACCTTTGAGTTTTTCTCATGAAACATTTCCAAAATTGCTAAACATAGTCTTTAAAAAAAGGTTTAACTATCTTTACTAGAATCATAAATTTTCATACAAATGTACTTACATATGACAGCTATTCACACAGAAAGCCAAGATATTAAGATTCTCACATGTATTTGTTTTATAGAGGAGCTTGTTGAATAAAAGTAGATAAAATGGGGGGCCCTAATCAACTGGGAGGCAGGAAAACATAAATCCATGTGAAAGTCTAAGTAAAATGATATTTTCCTCCCAAGTTTTTGCTAATCTCTTCATCAATGCATAAAGATCAAATCAAGCCAAACGACTTGTCACTGTTTCCTTTTAAGGGGTGAATTCAAGGAAGTCAGAAGGTAAAGAAAAAAAAAACAAAAGTTTTTGGTAAATTTTACTTTATTGCACCTTTGTATTATACTTTCTACATAACAGCATTAGTTCTAAACTAGAAGAAGAAATAAAGATTAAAATTTTAAAAGATCAACAAATGAGTCTGAGTTTGTTTCAGATGTGAACACCTGAAGAAATTATTCTACAATTTCAGATCTACTAAGTTTATGTGAACACATATATGTATGTATATATATGTACATATATTTTGAAGTACATGTTAGAGTCTTTATAAACGTAGTTACTAAGACTCCTTCCAGTTCTAAAATCTGACTTCTAACGCCCATTTGCTCTTTTTTGCCCTATCTTATTCTTGCCTGAGAGATTTTAGTCTTTCCGTTACCTTTATAAATCTTCATTTTTTAAAGATTTTATTCATTTATTTGACAGAGAGAGAGTGAGAGAACACAAGCAGGGGGAGCAGCAGAGGGAGAGGGAGAAGCAGGCCCCCTGCCGAGCATGGCTGCCTCTTCCACATTCTGTGAGGGTCATTGTATCTGACCAGTTTTTATGTTTGCTTCTAGGTCCTGAGTATTGCACTATAGTAGTGCTAGAATTCTCACCTTTATGCAGAAAGCTTATCTAGCTCTTCTTACTTTCATTTTTTTTATATAGGCCTATGTGCTGCTGTAGAGCTAAAACTCCAGCCCTAAAGCATATAGCCCTTTTGGTTATTATCTTGGGTTATGAGATTTTAAATTGTCCTTTCTCTGGAGAGTCTCTCTTTGTTTTTCACACCTGGAAACTTCTTTCTTGTTTGCAAGCCTAATCATGCATTCAGTTTTATTTTCAGATATTTTATCAACATCTCAATGTGTTTATAGGAGGATGAGAACTTTGTGTATAAACGTAACTTCTCATAATGGACAGAAATGTAGTTCAAATCTGACTTACTTGTTTTTAAGCATCATTCTGTTTCATGCATTTAAAAGATCTATAACCAGTTGGTCAGTATTTCTCCTGAGACTTAGTAAGATATTTACAATATTTGAAACATATTTTAAGATGTGTAAGTAAATAATCTCATTTTCTAGGCTTCTTGGATTAACTAACTGATTTTGGTAATCAAAGATTACCAAAGATCTAGAAGGAAATATTTTCGATTTTATAAAACATACAAAGTAAATACATGCCACAATGGGAAAAAAAGGAGTGGAGAACAAATGTTCTTAATCCATGTTATATTCCTCTGTGGTAATGCAATTTTGATCCATTTTTTCCACTTCCCTTAATCTTAAGAAAGTCTATTCTGGTAAGTGGTGAAATCAAGCAAAATGAAGTTCAAAGCAAAACACAATGAACAAACAAAAGTGTGTGTGACAAAGACATAAAGGCACAGAAGTGTTACTGTGGAGTGCCAAGTACTAGGTAAGCCAATTCGGACAATATCCTTATCTCTTCACAAAATGTTGATGCAGAGATATAAAACAGAGTATTATTAACCACTAGCCTTTATTCTCTAGTACTGCCATTCTAAAGAAAGTCTAGAAAGCAGACCCACTGTACTGGAGATCTGGCAAGTCATCTCATACTTTGGTGAAACTGTACAAGCCACGTAGCAGGACACACACACAGCAGGGGGCTGTTTCCACTCACTTTGCATTAACAGATGTTAGTTCAAGAAATATAAAAGAATGAAATAAAAACATATTTTTTGACATAAAGATGTAAGGTACCTTTGTTTTTCTCAATTCCTCCATTTATGAGGAACTCATCTTTAGGTAGAAGATGTTCCTTTAATTTTGCAAACATCAGTATCAACTGTGGTAATCTATAAAAAGTAGTGGCCAACCTTGGTACAAACAACCTTGTGTATGCAAGCAATGTTAACAAGAAAAGACTAGCATGTCCTGTTTCCTTTCTAAGTACTCTATCAAAAATCATAATGGTATTTGGCATTGGAAATTAGTACTTCTCTGAGATTTTCTTTTCTCTCCCTGGATAGCATTCTTCAAGACCCATGAGAAAAGGCACCCAATCTTTGTTTAAAAGTTTCACCCTTATAAACATTGTATTTAAATTCATTTCCCATTTAAGTGTCATGACAACTCTAATCTTTTTAGTGGTCCTACAAAAGAACACCAGGGATAGAGAATTTCAACAATGATACAAGCAACAACCTTGTACTTGAGTACTTACCACGCAAAACTGTGAGTCTGGTGGATACACTTATTTCTCCCACATTATTCGAGGCCACACATTCATAAATGGCCTCATCCCGCGGAGTCCGTAAGGGTTGTATTCTGAGAACTGATCCAGATCCATCGTCAAACTCTATTACCTATTAGAGGAAACAATAGCTGTCACAGGTGTTGTTACAATTGTCTACCTCTCAGCTAAACCTTAATACAGTGGTGAACCAGTCTTTTGTCTCAAAATAAACACAGCAGCATTTTAAGACTGAATTTTGATAAATAGTAGTAAAACAGAATAACTGGTTTAATTTAATGAATCTTCTCCTGAACAAAAGGAAAGACATGTAACTACAAATGCAAAGTCTACTAGAAACCATCCATGATCTACTCATGAAAATATTCTAGTATGTGTATCTAGACAATTTGACCCTGTTAATTTTGCAAGAGACTTGTTGCTATGATGGATAACCTTCTCAAATTATTCTCTCACAGCATGTATGCATATGTGGATCTACTCAATAATTGGACTATAAGGTGAAGACCTAATGCATACCACCACAGACAACTCTTCTGGCTTAAAGTGTTTCATCCTGAACGGTATAGATGAGCAAACCATGAAGAGAAACTGCATAAATCTAATACTTAGGCAGCCAACGAGATGGCTTTCACAAACCAAGAGACTGATGGCATACATTCATTTTGCTATAAATCATTCCAGTATTTGTTCTAGCTTAGCATTTTCTGCATTTTTAGGGCATTTTTGCTGTAAAACAGAGGCTTGCTTCACAGGGCAGAAAATTAAAGTCCTAAAGAGTAAGCCTGAATTCACTATCATTATGGACTCTACTCTGAAGCAGTTTAGCAATCCTAGATATTTGTCAGCTAATTCAAGTACTACTTCAAAAAATGATAATGATGATGATGATGATGATGAAATTGATAAATATGGGTACGAAACTGTGGAGTCCTCAACTTGTCTTTCTATAACTATACTGTGTTCTTTCAGCTGCTCACTGAGGTGCTGTGCTTTCTGGTTTTGGTGAGGTATTTTTTTGCATTTCCCTGTGACTAATAGTTCCACGTGCCTAAATTATGAATTGAGAATGCCTTGTAAACACATTTATTGGGATGCTAAATATCCTGTTTTGTGTGTAAACATGCTTATATCAACATATGGAAGAAAGATCGAATGTTTTTTTTAAATATATCCACTTCAGGTCCTTTCTGCATTCTGTTTATGTTTTAAATTCACAGAGACAGCCAAAATGCCCCACTTCCCAATGCACCACAATTTATTTTCAACTCTATTAAGCATATATTTTAGAGTGAATCTACTATGCATCATGGGAGAAAAAGTTTCATAGTTACTAGAATCTTTGACAAGTACGCCATAATTGAATATATATAAATATATTTATAAACATCTCTATATATTTTAAACATTTAATTTATAAACATTAAACATTTATATATATTTTTAAACATAAATATATATATTTATAAACATATTTATAAATATATATATTTATAAACATCTCATGGCTTAATGTAGAGAAAGGTTTAAATATCCTTAATGCCAATTTAAATTTTGATTTTTTCCAATTTTATTGAGAAATAATTGGCAAACAACACTGTATAAAGTTTAAGGCATATAACGTGATGGTTTGATTTACCTGTATTCTGCAATGACTACTACAGTAGGTTTAATTAACATCCATCATCTCATATAGGTACAATAAAAAGAAAAGAAAACAATTTTTCTTCCTGTGATGAGAAGGCTTATAACCTATCTCTTAACAACTAACTGTTATGTGTCACTGTATGTTTACATTTCTGAACTATTTCCTAGAGTTAGACCTATCATCTTTCAACAAACACTATACTACACATTACATGCTAGTGTTGCAATTTCCAATTTGAAAACCTTATTTAATACCCAGTATTGATTGTGCCCTACTTACTCTAAGCCAGACATTGTATTTGCCACTGGAGATAGAAGAAGCAAAATCAGTCTCACTTAGAGCTCTCATAGGCTTTATAAACCAGCAAAACAAAAAAAAATACATATATACTATTACAGATTTTAAAGATTCTCAACCCAAGACTCAACACTATTTGATATATATGCTTCATGTAAAAATAATTTTCCTTGGCTGTGTTTATATGATTCTCATTAAGAATTATATAATGAGCAGAGCTCATGCTTTGAAATGTTTACTATTACAATTTAATCTTTGTTACAAGATTTTGTCAAGAACCTACTGTCACCAGCAAGTATGATGTCAAACTTTTCTTTGATAAAAAAATTCAATTTCATTTAAACTAAAAAAAAAAAAAAATGTGTACTAAAGATCACACACACATCATTTTTTACATGATATAGGAAATATTTCTAAATGATTAAGATTTTTTTTATGTTTAATCACTGTAGGTATTTCATTTTCAAACAAACATAATTTTAAATTTATCATTTGTAAAACTGCAGTCTACATTTAAATTTCTACCAGTGTAATTAATTATACCCTTTATAAGGCATCTGGACCATTTATTGCTCTGTGAAACCTGGTAAAAAATGAGTAAAATCGGGCGCCTGGGTGGCTCAGATGGTTAAGCGTCTGCCTTCAGCTCAGGTCATGATCCCAGGGTCCTGGGATCGAGTCCTGAATCGGGCTCTCTGCTCCTTCGGAGCCTGCTTCTCCCTCTGCTTCTCTCTCTCTCTCTCCCTCTGTCTCTCATGAATAAATACATAAAATCTTTTAAAAAAATGAGTAAAATCAAAAATGTTCTGAATTTTGTACTTGCTATATTTCTTTTAACTAGAAATTGCCTTGATTTTGCCAAGCTATGAATTAGGCTATGAAGTATGTCAGAAACTCAGGTAAGAGAAAGTGAGTTTTACACTTTGGGGCAGTTTGGAGGTCTTTGTATCCTCTAAGAATCAAGCTATTCTTTTCATGTCTTAAATTTCAGGCATGTTATTGTGTGCTTCTTCCAATTTTTCTCTGCATATCTTATTACTTATTTTTCACCTCCAAAATGAGCAAATTTCTGAGCCATTAGTCTCCTTAAAAATATTCAAAATAATATCTGAATTATGCTTTATCATCTTCAAGTCACTGAGCTTTCTGGAGTAATTTGTTCAAAGGTTTAACTGCAATATCAACCTGGTTGGGTATATTCTTCCAGAGTAGTGCTTAGCCCAACAACTGGAGCTAATTTCTCATTTATTTCATGGTACTTGTAAAACACAGCTGTGAGGTGCAATGGACAGCTTCATTTGCTGCCTGGTACCCATTCCCCTTCTTCCTTGTAATAGGCACCTGAATCTCCTATAGGAAAACATTGCTTCCGCACTCCAGGCCATAGGGTTGGATGGAACCTACTTCATTCCCAGCAACAGAGGTAGATTCTGATTAACTTAAATTAATTGGCCTGTACCAATCAGTTGTCCATATACACTAGTCCAGGGACAAGCAAGTAACTCAGTAAGCGCTGGGAGCATAGGAAGCTTTCACTCATCTTCTAGCCTTGGTTGTGGGAGGATGTGAGACTCCCGCAATCTTAAGGGGAAACAGTTTGAGGATGATGCTAACAGATGGACGCCAAGAACACTGAGGCTGATACAATTAAATACAAAAGTTAGTCACCTGAACCCACAAATTCCTTTTCAAAAAGCCATTAAGAACTAAGTTTTCCAACACAAGCAACAAAAAGAAGGCCATATCTCAGTGATTAGCACACTTCATATACAGTAAAACAAGCAATATACAAACCAAAGATAGAGCAGATACATTTTTCCCCCAGAGAAACAGAACAATGGACCTAATACCTCAAATCTCTGATTGCTGACTTTCTTTCCTTTTTTGTTCCAGACAATTTTAGGTCTTGGGTCTCCTGTAGCTTGGCAAATGAAAGAGGCAACTCCGCCAGAGACCCCTGTCTGGTCAACGGGAGTTCTTGTAAACCTTGGAGGTGCTGAAATAAACAGAGATAAACATCACAATTAGATGGAAAATTGAAATACAGCGTATTACCCCACTGCCACCACTTTCCCCACAGCCCTCAACCTCATTGAGGCCAATACATACATATATATATGCACACACCAGGATTACAAAATTAGAAAAGCACCTTTTACTTTTAAGAGTAGTTTAAAGGGAAGGGAGGTAACTTCCTGGTCAAGATACCTGCTAGTGCTTTTATTGCTGAAATCTGTATTAAGGCAGAGATCTAATAACATCCGAAAAGCAACATCACACATTAATTTTTATTACCAGTATAAAAAAAAATCCAATTTGTCCTCTGTAACAAAATGAGCTCATCAATCAAAGTGAGTAAAATTTTAGCTCTTTGCTTTGATGCCATTATCAGGGCACTGCCAGAAAGCAGCTCTGCCACTGCTAAGCCATTAAAATTAGTGACATTTAAGAGAAATTCTAGGAAATTTTAAAGAGACAAGAAATATAGCCCTGAATTAGAAGGTTTGGCAAGAAACAGAAATACGGAAAAATGGTAAAGTGACTCCTTAACCTAAATATTGTGCTCTGCCTTACTTGAAACTTAACTTCATAATTTGCATAAAAGATGAGTCAAGAAGACTCCAAAGTCATGGGGGGGGGGGGAGGAATTCCTGTTAAAAAAAAAAAAGATGTAAACTTTAAGATTCCTAAAGATGAAAGGCTAGAAGTTAGAGGGTTTTTAAATGTTCTCTACTTCCTTAAAATGTTCCTAACATTCATCCTTTCTCTTCAAAACCTACTTATTATCCATCTTGCATTTCCAGATCTAGAAATCTATTATATGAGAATTAAATAAAATGAAGATGGGTATTTATGCACAAAGATATCTATTATGCCATTTATTTAGCAAAGATTATGTATACCCTAAATATGAAATAAAATTGGAATTGACAGTGAAATGAACTATGGCATGATGATAGAACATCAAATAGTCAATGTTATATTGATAAAGTTTTTATAATATGACATGAGAAATACTTGTGATTCAATGATAAGCCACAAAAACATCATACACAATTCGATATGAGGGGTATCAGATAATAAAGAAAAATGCACCCCCCAAAAAGATGAGACAAAACATGCCAAAATACCAGTGGTGGTTTGGGGGAGAAGGTATATTCATTATTTTTCCTACTTCTTTACATTTTTCTCACATCTTTGAGTTTTTGCAGTTATGTTGCAATTAAATTTTTTTAATTCAAAAGCATCTTACTTTTCCATTTCATTTTCTTATTCCCATTACAAATTTCCTCTCCTACTGTTTTTCAGTTAAATGCTATTGAAAAATGGTTTTAAGCAACTGTAGCTAACATTTATTTTGAAAATAATCCTTAGATATTAAGAAAGAAGAAAATAACAAAGTTCATCACTGTTTGCTCATCACCATATTTTCTCTGCCGTGTTTTCATGTTTCCCACGTGATGCTCCTGCTGGCTTGACGGTGTGTTCTGACTCTGATCTTGGTTTTCCTGGAGTCAAGGAGGCCAGACTCACATCTCAGCTCTCCCATAATGTATATGTATCATCTTGGAGAAAAAATGTCTCACTTTCCTGTTTCTGTTTTTTTTTTTAAGATTTAATTTATTTATTTGAGAGAGTAAGCATGCCTGCGAGAGAGAGCACAAGGGTGGGGAGAAGTAGAGGGAGAAGAAGAGAGAGAATCTCAAGCAGTCTCCGTGCTGAGTACAAAGCCTGACATGGAGCTCAATCTCACAACTCCGAGACCATGACCTGAGGTGAAATCAAGAATTGGATGCTTAACTGATTGAGCCAGCTAGGTGCTCCCTAACTTCCCTATTTCTTAACTGTAAAAATATGAAATGTAAAATAAATTATTTTTCAGAGATCCCTTCCAGTCTTAAGGTTTCTAGCTTAGTGTATCATCTCCACGATGAGAGAAAGAAAGAAGAGTGGGGAGAGGCATTTTTGCAATGTTAGTGCTGGAAAATGAGTCTCCACCTCATCAGCAAATTCAACTTGGTGATAGTAGAACTAGTGGGAATACAGGTCCCTCTTTGTTCAGGAATACTAGGAAAGAGAGCAGGCTCCCACAGCCCTACTCTCTATCACATCCTACAACAACTCTTGGTAGCAGTACAAACTAGATGATTACCAGAACTGCTGGAAGTACTTAAAATGATTTGAAATGACTAACAGTGAGAAGAATAAAAAACACTGTACACTGATGTCACTTTTCTGGAAACAAACAAACAAAAATGATATTAGAAGTGTTTATGTTTTTCATTCTGCTATTGCAAACAATGTAAATTGATAATAACCACACACTTGTCAGCAACTAATATGAAAACTATAATCATGCAATTAAAATTCTTAGGGAATTTCCCTGGAAAAATAAAATGTATTGCATTGCTATGTTACATGGTACAATACTGTCATTTTTGGAACCTTCCTCTTCAAAGTACATAGTTTAAAAATTGTTGACCCTGAATGAAAATGAATTTTAACATGTTTTCTCCTTTAACTTCCATTTTGAAATTTCCTGCAAGAATGTGTGAGTGAGGTAAAGGCTATGGTATAAAATGACTATGTACTAACCAGAAATTAAGTAAATCTAGAATATAGGATACTATTCTTCTTGCACCTGGTTTTGTTTTGTTTTTTTTTTAAGGGATAGCATCCTATTTCTCATCACACACACACACACATACACACACAAAAGGAAATATGGAAATTCTGACACTCTACAAATAGGCAATGACTACTAGAACAAGTGCTTCCTTAAATCTTGGTAAGTGGGGGCACTAAGGAGTCAAATTACTATTAAACATAGAAATCTGACTTCTAAAGAATTAAAAAAATTCATGGAAACCAATGAAAATGAAAACACAACTGTTCAAAATCTATGGGATACAGCAAAGGCAGTCCTGAGAGGAAAGTATATAGCAATACAAGCCTTTCTCAAGAAACGAGAAAGGTCTCAAATACACAACCTAACCCTACACCTAAAGGAGCTGGAGAAAGAACAGCACATAAAGCCTAAACCCAGCAGGAGAAGAGAAATAATAAAGATCAGAGCAGAAATCAATGAACTAGAAACCAAAAGAACAGTAGAACAGATCAACGAAACTAGGAGCTGGTTCTTTGAAAGAATTAACAAGATTGATAAACCCCTGGCCAGACTGATCAAAAAGAAAAGAGAAATGACCCAAACCAACAAAATCATGAATGAAAGAGGAGAGATCACAAACAACAGCAAAGAAATAAAAACAATTATAAGAACATATTATGAGCAACTCTATGCCAGAAAATTAGATAACCTGGAAGAAATGGGTGCATTCCTAGAGATGTATCAACTACCAAAATTGAACCAGGAAGAAATAGAAAACCTGAACAGACCTATAACCACTAAGGAAATTGAAGCAGTCATCAAAAATCTCCCAAGAAATAAAAGCCCAGGGCCAGATGGCTTCCCAGGGGAATTCTATCAGCCATTTAAAGAAGAATTAATACCTATTCTCCTGAAACTGTTGCAAAAAATAAAAATGGAAGGAAAACTTCCGAACTCATTTTATGAGGCCAGCATTACCTTGATCCCAAAACCAGACAAAGACCCCATCAAAAAGGAGAATTACAGACCAATATCCTTGATGAACATGGATGCAAAAATTCTCACCAAAATACAAGCCAATAGGACCCAACAGTACATTAAAAGGATTATTCACCATGACCAAGTGGGATTTATCCCTGGGCTGCAAGGCTGGTTCAACATCCGCAAATCAATCAACATGATACAATACATTAACAAAAGAAAGAACAAGAATCATATGATCCTCTCAACAGATGCAGAAAAAGCATTTGACAAAGTACAGCATCCTTTCTTGATCAAAACTCTTCAGAGTATAGGGTTAGAGGGTACATACCTCAATATCATAAAAGCCATCTATGAAAAACCTACAGCGAATATCATTCTCAATGGGGAAAGGCTGAGAGCTTTTCCCCTAAGGTCAAGAACGCGGCAGGGATGTCCACTCTCACCACTGCTATTCAACATAGTATTAGAAGTCCTAGCCACAGCAATCAGACAACAAAAAGAAATCAAAGGCATCCAAATTGGCAGAGAGGAAGTCAAACTCTCACTCTTTGCAGATGATATGATACTGTATGTGGAAAACCCAAAAGACTCCACCCCAAAACTGCTAGAACTCATACAGGAATTCAGTAAAGTAGCAGGATATAAAATCAATGCACAGAAATCAGTGGCATTCCTATACACCAACAACAAGACAGAAGAGAGACAAATCAAGGAGTCGATCCCATTCACAATTGCACCCAAAACCATAAGATACCTAGGAATAAATTTAACCAAAGAGGGAAAGGATCTGTACTCAGAAAACTATAAAATACTCATGAAAGAAATTGAAGAAGACACAAAGAAATGGAAAAACGTTCCATGCTCATGGATTGGGAGAACCAACATTGTGAAGACGTCAATGCTACCTAGAGCAATCTACACATTCAATGCAATTCCCATCAAAATACCATCCACTTTTTTCAAAGAAATGGAACAAATAATCCTAAAATTTGTATGGAACCAGAAGAGACCCTGAATAGCCAGAGGAATATTGAAAAAGAAAAGCAAAGCTTGCGGCATCACAATTCCGGACTTCCAGCTCTATTACAAAGCTGTCATCATCAGGACAGTATGGTACTGGCACAAAAACAGACACATCGATCAATGGAACAGAATCGAGAGCCCAGAAATGGACCCTCAACTCTATGGTCAACTTATCTTTGACCAAGCAGGAAAGAATGTTCAATGGAAAAAAGACAGTCTCTTCAACAAATGGTGTTGGGAAAACTGGACAGCCACATGCAGAAGAATGAAACTGGACCATTTCCTTACACCACACACAAAAATAGACTCCAAATGGTTGAAAGACCTAAACGTGAGACAGGAGTCCATCAAAATCCTAAAGGAGAACACAGGTAGCCACTTCTTCGACCTCAGCTGCAGCAACTTCTTCCTAGATACATCGCCAAAGGCACGGGAAGCCAGGGCAAAAATGAACTATTGGGATTTCATCAAGATAAAAAGCTTTTGCACAGCAAAAGAAACAGTCCACAAAACCAAAAGACAACCGACAGAATGGGAAAAAATATTTGCAAATGACATATCAGATAAAGGGCTAGTATCCAAAATCTATAAAGAACTTATCAAACTCAACACCGAAAGAACAAATAATCCAATCAAGAAATGGGCAGAAGACATGAACAGACATTTTTCCAAAGAAGACAACCACATGGCCAACAGGCACATGAAAAAGTGCTCAACATTGCTCGGCATCAGGGAAATCCAAATCAAAACCTCGATGAGATACCACCTCA